TTCCTTGGAGAGGCTTTGCAGCCTCGTCAGTGCTCGCCAGGCACCATCTGTTCCCAGCATCTCCTTGGCCAGTCACAGGCTTCTGCCTGGCTTTCCTGTGCCTGCTTTCTTTCTGACCTTCCTGCCTGCTCTATGGGAGCATAATTTTGGGAAATGTGCTAGATCAGAGCCTGTGTAACCGCCAGTGCCTCTCACTAGCATCCTCACCTGACCCTTCTCATCCTCTGCTCCCTCTCCCGCTCATTTGTTGTCCAAAATCAAACTCAAAGCTCCTCAGAGCAGAGTCTTTGCCTTCCAGGTGCCTTTAGCACCAGGCACAACAACACTGGTTTCTGGTATCATTCAGCACCAGAGCTGTGCAAATAAATAAGAGTAATTCTGAATTACACAGTTGAAGTTCTCATCTAAAATAATTTAAAGAGTAGTCGTAAGGGGCTGTTCTGGTTATAATTCATATAATAATTTAGGACTGCTAGTTTTTAGCTATTGTGTAATTTGGATTTGCTTGCAGCTCTCATTGGATAAAGTATATTATTGAATAAGAAAGGAATAAACTATATTCAGAGTAGCTGTAGGGTGCTATGATTTAAAGGAGAACTGGTGCAATACTACAGCAGAAAATATGCAGGATCCATTATACTGTTAATGAATGCACAGCTCAGATTGGTGATTTAATTTTTAGGTCATATTTCTCTCATACCCTCAGGTATAGTAGACTTCATACATAAAAACGGAGTAAGTTGGTGTGTATTTAATCTCAGTCATGCAAAAAAATGAATAATAATAAAAAATTACTTTCCTGTATTGTTTATTCATTTGCAATTATTTTTTTTTAATGACATAGCATTCAAAGAGCACTATTGGAAGGGCACAGCCATATTTTCGGGTACAAGTTTTGAACCAGTGATAGTAACCTTTGAGGCAGCTTGATATTTATCCGTAGCTACAGACTGTCACTGTATTTAAGCTATGACTACAGCATCATTTTTTCATCTAGCCAGGAGCATTCTTGAAATAGTCACCATTTCCTTCCTCAGGCAAGGTGGCAGATTGGTGATATTTTAAACTGTCTCTTGGCTGAGAGACAAATCCCTATTTCTTTATTTTTGCAAGCAGACGTAGCTGGTGTAAGCAAGACCTATTCCTGCAGGAGCCACACCCCTGAGTAGTTGTCAGAACCAACCTTCTGCAATGACTTCTAGTTTTACTAAATGTGGGATTTTTTAGTCTTTATTTTTTTATTGTCGTGTTAATTGTAAGCTTTTTTGATATGTATACAGATGTCCAACTTTTTGAGAATCCACATTTTACAGTGGACTGCATTTTAAATTGCAGTCATAGATGCAAATTGAATCTGAAAAATCTCTGGAAATACACAAAGAAAAGAAGAAGCAATTAAAATAAATTATGTCTGACCTTTTACAGTATACACCTGCTATTTTAATTTTTTATAAAATTTCTTACAACTGGAATATCGCCTCTTAAATGAATTTGAACAACTCACCCAAGAGACATTCTAATCCAATTGTGTATGACGATGATACCAGTTGGATGTTATCCTATTAGGCACTCACTGTAAATAAGGGATTTTCCACTGACTTTTAAATCCTTGATTAATGAGAATGCTTGAAGCAGTGTCCTGTAAATTAGCTATAGTGCTAGCAACAATGGCCATTAACTTAGGAGAACTGATTTGTTTTAAATCTTCCTATCCAAATTAAAAAGCACGAGGAAAAGATAATGTCAAGTAAGTAAAACATATTACTCTATCTTGTATTGTTGATCTACACCCCATGGCTGTCTGACACCCTTAGGTCTAAATTCTGCTCTGTCTTCAGGTAAATTCCCATCAGTCAGAGCTCCTCTGGAGAAAGAACTCCAAAAAGTAACCAGCCCACAGTATTTAATTTATGTATTCTTTATATTCTTTAGTGGTTTTAGCTAATTCTGAATCCCGTTTTGAATTCTGTGAGGCAGACCAATGGCTTTCTTTGTAGTTTGGTCACTGCCATCTCACCTGCCTTTCACAGCTGCTTTTCCCTTTTTTTCTGATAAAAATATGTATGAGTAGCAGCAAAGGGGTATTTAGGTTTGGGGAAAGAGCAGAATAGGGGCAGGTTGTGACATATCTTTTAATTGATACTTAAACTCAAATTCTTCCTCCCATATTTTTCTGAAGAAAAACACTTTTCACATCATCTTATCACTTTGCTTCTTATTCAACTACTGATACTTGATTTATTGCTTGCAAGAAAATTAGTTTTAAACCAAGTATTGACTTTGAAATACACATTACTTCCTTTAATATGCTGAGATATTAATGAGGTCTTTCTCGACATTCTATATTCGCATTTATTTAAGGTATTATTCATTTCTGTACCCATAATATGAATGTATTTTTATCATTCAAGAATAACCCTTTCTTCTTGTAGAAGTATAAATACTCTTTCCATAGATTGGAATTAGTGTCACTTTATAAAGACAGTTTTGACACTATCTTATAAGTAGCTGAGCAAAGTATGTCTCAGACATTAAGATACTTAAAGTATATTATTTTTCTGGTGAATTTGAATTTTGAATGTTCTGCAAATTGTACAAAGTAGAGCTACCTAAAGTCTTACCATGCTGTCCTATATCAAGAGTAATCAGAGGCACTGCAATAATCCCATAAATCTGTCTGATAATTTCTTCTTGGATCACTCAAGTTATAAGAGTGACTCATCTGTGCATGTGCCAAAGCACCCTTAATGAAAATTCCAGTTAGACCAGTAGGTCTGAGACCATTTCTTGCTGTGACTATTGGGTATGCATGTGATCCTCTCTGTTTAACAGTATTTGTGTAGAGTTCCTCAGTGATCCATTGATAAACATTCAGATCGTAAAAGTATTTTCATAAAAGTCTACAGGTCATAGAAGTATTGTCCTGTCCAGTGTTGGGGGCAAAACGAAAAATTTGACACTGTGGCTTCACTGATCAAATTGATACTCTTTGGGAGATGCATGAAGCTTTATGTACTTATTACTATGTTTTTATACTTAATGGTTTATAGTACAGAGATATTTTCTTGTGGGCAGGCTTTGTTGGTTACTTGGTTATTTTTTCTTTATATTTATATTAAAAAATAAAGGCAATTTTCCTCCAAGAGACTAAGATACTGGTTTTCTAGCTTAAATGGTGGTCATTTGGGGAACAGAAATGGACCTTGGAAATTCAAGAGGATGCTTGCAGCTGGTTTTTGTTCCAACTTTGGTTTTCTACATGGTAGAAAGAAAGGACAACTGGAAAGCTTTTCTTGGGTGTTTTTTAAATTTTGCAAATCTGCCAAATAATTTTGGCAGTATTTCAGGTTTACAGTTGTTTCCTCTAGCTACAAATTTTCTCAGCTGTAACGAAAGATAATTTTTGTGATTATGGCATCCAAACATAGCTGTTGTCTATAGCCTTTTTGATTACCTTCAGCAAGTTGTTTCATTCTGTTATGCCTCAGTCTTTTACCTCTTAAATATATTATTATTATTATTGGCTTTTCTTTGTTATGCCTCACATATTAATGAATGTATTCCTGTATCACTTTCCTACTTCAGAGAAGTGCTGAAAGCTTATATTCATTAATATTCTTGAAGCATGACAAAGTAAAGCCTATTACTGTAATATGCTTTGCTTTAAAACTCTGGTTAGAATAATAATGATAAACAACATTGGTTAGCCTTTGGCCCTGCTGCACAGATATAAAATTTTTACATCTTCAAATTTAAACTGATGAAGGAAAACTTTCATGCATTTTATATCCCTCTTCTATACCCATGGAGAGATAAAGGAAGAAAGTTTCACATTCACTGAAATGGGTTGTTGGCATATTTATCATACAGGAATCCAAGAATGGCTTTTTGCCTGCTGTGTCCTTAGCCTCTTGTTTGAATATGATGTAGTATTTTATTCTCTCCATGTGTTTCCTTCGGTGAGGTGAACAGAAGTTTGAAATGGACAATTATGCCTTGCCCATAGGAAAGGCGTCTTCCTAACCTCTTTAGTAATTTCTTGAGAAATGACCAGGTGCATGACAGCTTATATTTCCCTGCTATTATTTCCCTGAATTACTGTAGACATTCTTATTATATTTCTAAACGACTGTTCCCAGAAGTGGTTTGAAAAGATACTCATTTTTTCATGTTGATTGACTGATTGCCTCAGTGTTTAATGGAATATCTCCTTGTTCTTGCACTGTAAGTAGAAGTAGATAGGAATTCCCCAGTTCTTTTTGAACTTTTATGGTGTGTTATACCATATATTCCCTGGTTTGTCACCTTTGTCTTGATTGATATGATTTCTTTATACAAAAAATTGTCCAAATGCATTTTGGCCCTGAGACCTAAACATAGCACTCACACACAATACTTCACTTATTTTAGAAAATACCGTAATAATTTCTAGCATATACACATTTATTATTGTTTTCTTTCCTTGACTTTATTTTCATTAAATATTTTTCAGCTCAGTGAGACATGTTTTCTTTTTTTCCTTTCTTTTTTTATTTATTCCATCTGAGAAAGCAAGTGCAGTTAATGGAGAAAACATCTCTACATTTATAAAAGTTTTAACGGCTGCACTGCAGGCAGTTCATTATTTTGACTTGTTTTTTAGTGCCCTCAGTGTTCTCAGTAATATCGTAGTAGAGATATTGGAGATAAAGAGAGAAGACCAGCAGACTCAATATACATATTCTGTCCTTTCTGTCCTTATTACAAAAAAAAATATTAAAATGTGTAAACACCCACACTGGATATCTAACACAGTTCTAAATCCTGACAAGTGCAAATTGAAAAGCTAAGTCCCATTAATACAGAGTTGGAGAGTGTCACTGCACCTTTACATGTAAAGTCTGGGATGCTCTGGGCCTTGTATAAATTAAAAAAAAAAAAAAAAAAGACATGATGGTGAGAATCTTACAATGTGTTCAGTCAATTAAAGTATATCTATTTGACTCTTATTTTCTTTGCAGTCTACAGATGACATCCTGGTGGCTTCAGCTGAATGTCCTAGTGATGATGAGGACATCGATCCCTGTGAGCCGAGCTCAGGTGGGTTAGGTTAGTCAACTTTTTTTATTACTTTCTTTTCTTTCATATTTGCATGCTCCAGTCCCCCAGAGTCCCAACTAGCAGGACAGTCCCTTTGTGCGCCTCAAGGAGAGGTTGAATTGGGCCCTTTCTTCATGTGGTGGTGTTAGCAGGGAGGAGTCTGCTCCAAGGAATCAGATGGGAGCACATGTCATGATCTGAGCAAAGTTATGGCTTGGGTGAGGACCCAAGGATGGACTAGGAAGGGCATTCTAGGGCCCCTGCAACTGTGTTGTGATAAAGAAGGTACAGCTTAATTTAGCAGGAAAGTGTTGCCATTGTTTGTGACTTAAGAATTGCCCTTAATAAGATAAAAGCGTCATTTCAAAAATGTGTTATGTTATGGAAGCGTAAAGTGGCCTAGGTTGGAAGCGACCTTAAAGATCACCTAGTTCCAATCTCCCTGACGTGGTCAGGGACACTTTTTACTAGACCAGTAAAACTCAAAACTCTATGCAACCTGGCCTTGAACAGTTCCAGGGATGGGGCATCCACAGCTCCTCTGGGATACCAGTGCTTCACCACTCAGGTGACATTCAGGGAAGAATTTTTTCCCAATATCTAATCTAAACCTAGTGTCTTTCAGTTTGAATCCATTTTCCCCTTGTCCTATCACTACAGCTCTTGTAAAATGTCCCTCTCCATTTTTCTTATGGGCTGCCTTCATGCACTGGAAGGTAGAGTTGAGTTAATTTTTAATTACTATTAGTGGTATAAAATTTTATGCAGATAGATAAAACTTGAAGACATCGAATACAACAATCTCAAATTTCAAATTGTTTTATGTTTTTTTTCCAAGCCAAGCCTATTCAGAGTGTATGTTTTAATTGTAACCAGAAACAAGATATTTTGACATTCTAGTATTTTCTGTGAAACAAAAACTTGCTAGTGTTTTGGCCATGTTTTTCCTACTCCACTGAATAGTGGAGATTTAGTAATAATTATTCTCTGTGAAATAATGAAAAGATTTGGGTAGGAAGAGGCCTTCAGTTATATCTAGTTCCAAACCCTTGCCAGGATCAGGGACACCTCTCACTAGATCTGGTTGCTCAAAACTCCATCCTGCCTGGCTTTGGACACTTCAGGGGATGGAACACCCAAAACTTCTCTGGGAATCTGTTCCGAAGGTTCAATTATTCTCAGTTACGTTCAGGTAAATACCACATACCATCTCTAAAAGTCCCAACATTTATCATTGAAGTGAAAGGGCTGCTAAACTCCCTATCAGTCTGAAAAACTATGCTACTCTATATCCTTTAAAATAATCCTAGATAGTCCAATTAATTATTCCTGCTTCTTTGTTGGTTTGGTTTAGGTTTTATAATTCCTGAGTGAACACCTCGTGGAACCATATAGATACATCTCAGTTTTCTTTAGAATTTTCCCCAGAATTCCCTTGAATTCTGTGCTGTTTGGTAGCATGCTCACTGCTAGTTATCTGAGGTAATTTGGTAATCTTTGGTACTTGCTACTTCACTTAATAGTAAAAAAATTAGGATCTATTTGTTGAGCAGTAACATATTTAGCTTGAGTTGAATTGAATTTGAGATTTATATATTAATAGCAAATAGCAACTAAGAGCCATCTTAGTATGATGCCAAAATCTGGGGCAGGAGAAATGTCTACATAGCCCTAAGACAAATGCAATTTTTCTTCATATGCAAATGGCATGGTTCCTATTTTAAGTCACAGAGCTTGATACCCGCATGCAAGAATTATTTACTTAAACTGAAGGAAAGGCAGAGATATTTATGACTTGTCTCAATGTCTGACAGACCTGCAGCATGGCACTTGAGCTCTTCCAGGAAGCAATTTACAGATTTGATGATGATACTTCAGGATTATTTTCTTTCGCTTTCCAATTAAAGGATTTCAGAGTAATTTTCAAAATTCCATGAAATTGAATGAATGTTCTTACAACTGAGTAGTAATAGGTACACTCACAGTTTTGTACCTCTCAGGGAGATATTTCACTCACAGAAGTCTCAGACATTATGATCAAGATATTCAGAATTTTTTTTTCCTGCTCCTTCATTCTCGTTTACAAATTCTTCACTTTACCAAGTTTAGTGTCCTGTCCAGTATGAGTTAATGCACTAGCACACATGGCTCTGAGCTCATTTATCCTTGCTTTGCTTAGCTCAGGCAGTGCTGCTCAGTAAATTGACATTTAGGGGAGTGTTATTTTATTTTATTAGGTAATTTTAAAGGAATATATTGGTTACGTAGCACTAAATAATTTTCCAAATCATCTGGGAATGCAGCCTTGGTATTAAAGCTGTATTCATATTTTCTCAGGCTTACAGCTCACTGAAAGCCAATGAAATTTCAGAATAATTCTTCTCTGAGGTAGTTTGAGCTCTGAGGCTGCAGTGTTCGGTAGTCCTGAGCCATGCAGAGTCATTTAGCTGGTGGGTGCAAGAATGGGAGAGGTGAAATGAAACTTTCTGACAGCTTATTGTTTCTGTCCAAACTGTAGTTCAGGAGAGCAATGTGGATATTAGTCTTTCAGCAAAAAATTGCCATTAGGTTTACATGCTGGTGTTCAGCTTTCCTATTTTAGTTTAGTATTCATCACACATTTCTCATTTTTGTTTATTTGAGAATGGTTTTACTGGATTTGTCAGATCCCAACTGCTACTGTGCTACCACCCTTTTTTTTTTTTTAACTGTGGATTGGCACAGGAATTATGTTCTGCATAATCCAAATTGTCTGGATCATTTTATCTGTCACTCTTCTCATCAAAATGTCACTCGTCCTCCCACTCTCAACTTTTAAAAGCTGTTAATTTGCCTGCATCGGCCTTGTCCTTTTATAATACTTGAAACTACCTGAACCAAAGGGGTTACTGAAGTTGTAACTTCTGGCATATCAGTCTCTCTGTATGGTGTTTTAGTCTTAGTCACTTAGTGCTATGAATAAATAACCTTTCTCCATGAATAGTCAGGTAGGCATTTCTCAATCTCTGTAATACTGCAGTCTCCATGTAGATTTGAGCTACTCCAAACAGTAGGCTGGAATTTAGGGAGAGAAGCACAATACTGTTGGCAAACCAGATTGGCTTCTCCACAGCTACTCCTCAACATCCTCACTGATGGTGGTGAAACTTATGTATCCTAACAATTCTAGGAGGCTGAATATATGATGGTTGGGCAGTTTTATGTTTTTGCTTCAGAGCCTGTAGTCTGGGATCCTTCAGCAAAGGAATCCAGCTCATGGCAAGAGATGATGCACTCAGAGCTGTGTGGTCAACGCTTTTCTACCAAGAATTCAATCAAGGGATGGCCAAAGCCCCTGAAGTTTTATTAACAGAGCCGTTAATATTAACTCAATATTTCTGTGATTTACAGAACCATAACTCAATATTTCCATGATGATTGCCCATAATATGCCTATTTCTAACGAAAGTTCTCAGTTCCAAATGAGAGTCTATTCAGCAATAGTTTTGAATATGGTACGCCTATATCTCATAGAAAATACTGCTTATCCAGATTTTACTAATTAGTGAGATTTATGCGTAAAATAAGGCTTTTTTTCCTAGTACAAATATGTTGCAGTTTGTAGTGGCTAACAAGTCCCGCTCTGCCACTACCCGCTTTGCTTTCTGTGCACCTGTCTGCTAAATAATAAATGGAAAGATGCATTTTGCCACAAATTTCATATAGGACATAAAAATGTAAACCTGATTAGGAGCTGCTGAGCAGCAATCCCATCATCTTGTCTGGAACATAAAGTCACAAAAATTATAATTGCAGATTTCATTGTGGCATACAGACTGCTAAATGTGCCATAATTGGATGAAGTCATAACAAATTTATTAGCATGCAAAACTTAGTCAACATATTTTTTTTTGTATTACGTTTTGTGTACTAAGGCAACAAGTATTGCTTTCACAGTCTCTCCATCTTCCCCTAAATACCAATAACAACATGAAGATTGAGGATGATGATAATAATAATGATAAAAAAAATAGTTTATATGTCCTCAATTTAATGTCATGAAGGAAATAATAAAACTGTTTCATTTTGCAGACAAGAAACAAAAAATTTTAGTGGTAACCTATCCAGAAAAAAGAACCTCGGACAATTTACTGATTTTACATAAGGAGCTATAAAACTGCAGCTGGACAAATTGCCATTCTGCACATCAGGACTGCTGTTCCTGCCATTGCTGAGCTCTGTGGAGAGCTCTGATTTCTGCTGAGTTTCAGTGAGCATTTGTGCTACACGGCTTATTTGTTCCAGTTACTCGGGGCTGGTGTTTTATTTGTTAGCTATTATCTAACCACTTTTCTAGCTATTGAAATATTCCAAAAGGCAGAGAGGTCTGAGCTGGGTCAAATGAAGTGAAATCACTGTGTTTAATGGCAGGGAACTCTCAACCAGGAAAAAAGTCTCAGTTTTAGACAAACACACAAACAGTTCCTCCTCTGCAAATTAATTTTGCATTTTGCACAAATCTTTTCCGAATTTGTGACTCAACAGAGGTTTAAGCTCACAATTAGGTTGAAAACTTCTCCTGACAGCCCCAGCAGAAATGGGATAAGTAGAGGTTTTGGTGGTCTTAAAGATAAAATATTCACTGGTCTTGGAAATTTCAGCAGAAGGTAACCTTCCAAGTGAAAGAGGGGTTTTTCTTCAGGTTCAAACAAGTGTCTTTCAACCAGTGGAACTCCACATGTTGCAATGAAAGAAAATACTTAATCATCTCTTGATTTTGCTGGCAATTTTGGTTTGCACTTCCCAGGGCAGTGTTTGATTGGTGGGAGATCTTGTCCTTTACTATTCTGTGGGTAAAAATAATAAGAATAATCAGGACAGAGTTCAGTCATGTATAACAGCTGGCAGCACTGGTAAGCTTTCTTAGCCATAATTCTTAATTCAGAGGGATGAATGGAATAATTTATTTTCCTATATTATTAAGTAAGAATGGTTAATAGGATAGATACTTCTGGACTGAT